CCTCCTCCTCCTCCTCCTCCTCCTCCTCCTCCTCCTCCTCTTCCTCCTGTTCCTCCTCCTGCTCCGCCTCCTCCTCCTCCTTCTCCTCCTCATTCCTCTTCCTCATCCTCCTCCTCCTGCTCCTCCTCCTCATCCTCCTCCTACTCCTCCTACTCATCCTAGGAGGGGGCTGCCCAGAACTCCGACCGACCGAGGGCCGGACCAACCCCCACCAACCCCGGGGGGCGCCGCCTCCCCTGGGGGACCCGCACGACGCCGCGGGCTCCCCCCCCGAGGCCAGGCCCACCCGGGCCTCCCCCGCCAGTAGCGGCGTCGTCGTCGTCGTCATCGTCGTCCCGATTGTGTTTTTTATCCGATCCCTGTCCCCATCTACATCTCCATTCAGATCCCCACCATCCCCACCTCCCCAGTTGGGGATATGCCCTTCGAAACTCGCAGTGAACGGCTTATATTCCCATCTAGGGGGGTAAATCAGCCAGTGGGGCCCAGGCCATGCCCGTGGGGATAGGAATCGGTTTGAACGATGTTCGGGGGGGAGGGAAAGAGCTGAAGAGGAGAAGCGCAACCATATCTTCGGCAGCAGATGATGGGAGCCGTGGACATCCTCAAGATGCCGCTTTTCGGGTCATTCGCGTGCGCTAGCGTCTGGTAACTGATGGAAAAGCGCCGATTTAGGGTCGACCAGCGTTAATGTAGCGTCGACTAGCGGCCATGAGCGTCGGCGAGTGTCGATTCGCAACAGCCAGCGATGGCATGGGAGACTCCCATGATTTGCCACAGAAGATAGATGCTTGCCTGCTCGCCCCGAACAAGCCAACACTTGTGCGATTCGAGATGCACTCGCATGAGCGGCGCCCCGTGTCCCCAACCTGCGCGGGGAGTTGTTTACAGGTGAACGCTTGCAGCTACAAAACAATGAACCCAGTGCGACCCCAATTACGGAGTCTTCTGTCTTCCAGAGCAATTCAAAGCAGGTCTGAGCAAAGCGACACACTGCAACGCAGTGTTTGGCATTGTGTGGCACTGCCTGGCGTTGCCCGGCATCCCTTGGAAATCGCTGCCTGGCACTGCTCGGCGCTGCTTGGCAGTGCCTGGCAGGGCCTGGCGGTGCTTGGCGGTGCTTGGCACTGCGCAGCGTTGCCTTGCTTGGCAGTGCCTGGCAGTGCCTAGTCGCCTCTTCCCTGGCTCCGGCACCCCTGCACCTCCGGGGCCCAGGCGGGCGCCTCCGCGGCCCGCCTGCGCTCCGTGGCCAGAGAGGCGTGCCCGGCCCCTGCTGGCGAAGAGGCGCTTCGCCGAGCCCGTTTCGCTACTCGCAGAGTGCCTACTCGCGAACGTCCGAACAAAAACACATGTCTGCTCTGATGCAATTGATCGTAGATCCCCCTTGGGGGTTGGGGGATCCAGGTCATTTGCGAGTAGTTACTTTGCGAGTAGTGGAACGCGCTCGTCCAGCGCTGCCGGCAACCCCAGGCATGCTCGAGGTGTCGCGACAGAGGTTGCTGGCCGTGTTCGGCTTCCAGGGGCCCTCGCTGGGCGCCAGGGCCGTCCAAGAACGGCTCGGGGTGAAAAACTGGCCCTGGGGCCAGGGTCGAGACGTTCGGGGACTCCGGCTTGAAAAGATCAAGCCATCGGATGTTTGGGTGTCTCCCCTTTTATCCTCCGCCTCCTCCTTCCTCCTGGTCCTTCTCTTCCTCCTTCTCCTCGTCCTCCTCCTCCTCCTCCCCTCCATTCAATTGCGCTCGAGTTGTTAGTGGGTTGACACTCGTGTGAGGGTCGAGACTCTTGCGTCCTGGGCGCTGCCACTCCCCATCCCCGAGGCGCGGTCCATCCTCTTTCTCTTCCTCATCCTCATTATCATCATCCTGCTACTCCCTACTATCGGGTCTTCTTCCTCGCCCTTCTCCTTCTCGCTCGAGGGAGAGAAAAAGTGGGCGACCTCCTCTCCTCCTCGAGACGGAGGACTGAGTCCTCATCCCCCTAACGATCAGGACACAAGGCTTCATCGGCACATGGCGGTCAATGTTGGCTCTCGCGTGTGGTGATGTCCGAAAGCTGTAGAACATGACGTGGCGGAAGCTGTAGAGCATGATGTGCTCCGCCATCGGGGACGGCGGAGAGGGTTATGTTGCACCGTTCTTCGCCCGCTACCTACTCCTGAACACCTCTGCTTCTGGTCCTCCTCCTCCTCGTCCTCCTCCTCCTCCTCCTCCTCCTCCTCCTCCTCCTCCTCCTCCTCCTCCTCCTCCTCCTCCTCCTCCCGCTTCGGCACAAGGCAACCGAGGCGGCTGCTCCTGCGCCCTTGCTGCGCCGAATTCCGCTCTGCATCGGCCCACCAGTCGACAATGAAGGCTTCGCGTGCCGCAGTCGCTCTGCTCGGCTGCACGGCGTTCACGGCGTCGGCAGCGAAGCGTGGGCACGACGCGTCCCTGCGCTCGGTGGCACGCCAAGAGCCGGACACGGCGTGCGGGAAGGGCTTCGACGAGCTCGTGAAGGGTTCCAAGGACTGGTTCGCAACTGCGTCTGTGGAGCTCTTCAGGCACCCAGGCCGAACAACGGACAACGCCACGTACGCGAGGGAGTTCCAGTGCTGGTTCGCGCACATGTGCACTGATAGGTGCGGCGGCCTTCCCTCCCAGGCTGCCACTCGGAAGCCGAAGTTGACCGCCGCGTGCCAGGATGTCAAGGTCGATTGGATGCCCGTGTGGTCGATGTTCACAACTGACGAGGTGAAGTATTTCAAGAAGGAGTTCCCGTCCAAGCAGTATGACGATGAGGATGAGGGTGGGCTCCTGACGAACAGCAAGGTCAGCCAGTACAGGGAGAAGGGGGAGAAGGAGATTAATTACAAGGAGGCGATGGAGACGATGAAGGAGGTTGACAAGAAGGAGCTGCTGTGCATGACGGCGTTCGCCATTGACGACGAGTGCGTGAAACATTCCTACATCCGCCTAGCGAAATAAGTCTGCCCGCGTGCTGCCACTTACGGACGTGTTGTGAGTATGTACCCCTCCCGCCTCTGCGCCTCCTTGTGGCGTGCTCTCCTCAGGAGACCCCCCTCCGAGTGTCACTATAAAAAGTGCGTTGCTCCGTTCCATGATCAGCTCAGGTGTGGCAGCTCGTTCGGAGTCCAACCTCTGGCTCTCCCCTGCAATTACTCCTCTTGGAACGTAGGGCGGTCTCGTGGCCAACGTCCAATGTCTTCGACACGATTCCAGGGAAGGTACCCGCATGTTGCCTGGGAGGGGTACGTGGGCCGGTCCTGGATGTTCTTGTCTGGCTGGGTGGGGAAGAGGAGGAGGAGGAGGAGGAGGAGGAAGGGAGGTGGAGGTGGAGGAGGAGAGGAGGAGGGGGGAGGAAGAGGAAGAAGGAGGAGGGGGATGAGGAGGAGGAGGAGGAAGAAGAAGAAGAAGAAGTGGAGGAGGAGAAGGAGGGGGAAGAAGAGGAGGAGGAGGAGGAGGACGGTGTCTCGACGTTTGGGGCTCTGGCCCTGAGCCTTGTCCCGCGGCGCTGCCGCGCTCCTGCAGCGCCGCGCTGCGGGGGGGGGGGGGCGGGGGCCTGGCGCCTAGGGGGGGAGTACGGTCGAGGCTGATCAGCAGGTCGACCCTGCCAAATCAAGGGTACCCTCGTGTCCTGCGTTTCGCGACCCATGCCTTCTACATGTCAGAGGCAGTGTGAGCGTCGGAAGGGTCTCGTGTCCTCTCGCGTGTCCTCTCCAATCAACCTGGACTATATGAGGGGGTCTCACTGTGAATGCTGATGCTTGCCTTACGCTACAGGTCGGCAACGAGCCAGGGGGGGCAAGTGAGAGGGAGGCCGTGTTCTGGCCACGGAAAGTTTGTCTTCGATTTTCTCTAGCCACTTTCAGCTTTTCGGTCGAAGTTTCGCGAAGCCAATGCCCACGTGTTATCAATTGCCCCGTCCGCTTCCTTCGGTTTTCTCGAACAGCACAGTCCTGGCCTTTAGAAGCGTCCTCATATGCTGGGACATGTTACATCTTGGAGTATGTGGGATAGCGCAAAGGTGCCGCACTTGTGCCGACTTAAGCTATCCATACCTCCCTCTTTCACTTTTTTATAGTTATTCCTATTCCAATATCTTATCAATCGGAAACCCCACCCCACCCCCGCACCCCTGAAACGGACCCCCCCCCCCCAGGAACGCCCAGGTTGCCCTTTCAGACGCTTCGGCGACCCCCTGGACGCCCTGGGAAAAAGTCCACTGGCCCTTTCGGGCCTCCCAGGGCGCCTTGCCGGGCCTTGCGAGCAGACTCGAGGCGATCAGAGGGGTCATCGGAAAGGCGCACGAGAGACCCAAGACAGCACAAGAGCGCTCCAAGAGGAACCTCGATGGTCTGAAGACGGACCAAGAGGCCCCCACGACGGCCCGAGAGGCCGTTAAGAGAGCCCCGAAGAAGCAAAAATCGTCTCCTGCCCTTAGCAAAATGTAGATTCTTAGCATATCCGCTTTTTGGATCTTCGCAGCGTCAAAGACGGCCCGATGGGCCCCCGATATCGCCCCAAGCGGCCCAAGAGGCCCCCCAGAGGGCTGAAAGACGGCCCAAGAGGGCCCCAGGACAGCCCCAGAGAGCCCCGAGACTGGCCACAAGAAGCCCAAGATGCCCCCAGAAGGCTCCCAAGAGAGACCCACGAAAGCCATGGGAGACAAGGCAACTGGAGGCCCCCAAGAGGGCCCTAGATGGCTTCAGAAAACCTCTGGAGGACCCCAGCTCCCCAAGACGGTTCAAGAAGACCCCAGGACGGCCCAAGATGGCCCCAAGAAACCCTCCGAAGCATTCCAAATGTGACCCGGTCGTTCAGGGAGACCGCGGTTGGAGGCAGAGTGGCCCGAAGAAGCCCCCAGAGGCCCCCAGAAGACGCCCAGGAGGCCTCCAGCGGAACCCCCAAAGGCTCGCCTCCGCAAAAAGAGCTGAGGAGGATGGGTTGAATACGCAGGCTAGAGCGAGAATGAGGAAAAAGAAACATGGAGGAAGGATAACGAATGACATTATTATAACGGCGATGCCAGAAAAAGCAACAAGGAGTTATCGCTAAATTATCGGTTTGACCTTCTTGCCATTCAACCTGCGTACCAAAGTTCAAGGACCACGGTGCATGGTGCGAAGCGCCAATGCAGTCTTGCATTCCTCTTCTTACATTTTTACAAGCCCCGGGGGTGGGACCCCCCCAAAAAAACCGGACCACCAAAATCTGGGGTTTCCGGGCCCCCCAGGCTCGTCCCAGACTTCCAAGGGCATTTAGCCCGGCCTTGCCAGCAGACCCCAAGCGATCAGAGCGGCGATCAGAGAGGCCGACGAGACCCAAGACAGCACAAGAGCGCTCCAAGAGGAACCTCGATGGCCTCCAGAGGCCCCCACGACGGCTCAGGAGGCCCTGAACAGGACTCCCAGAACGCAGAAATCGCATCATCCCTTCAGGAAACATACATGTTCAGCATATTCGCTGTTCGGGTTTTAGCAGCGTCCAAAACAGCCAAACAAGCCTCCAGTCTCGGCCCAAGAGGCCCCCAAGAGAGCCTTAGAAGGCCTGGATGGCCCCAAAGATTGCCCAAGGAAGCCCCACTTGTGCCAAAAAGAGGCCCAATAGGCCCAAGGCCCCCAAGAGAAGCCCAAGAAGGCCATGGGAGGACCCCAAAAAATGCCATGGGAGGCCACCAGGAAGGCCCACGTAGCCCCCGCAACGTCCCTAGAGGGCCAAAGATCCCCAACACGGCCCAAGATGGCCCCAGGACGGCTCGAGAGGGCCCCAAGCCGGCCCACCAAGGCTCGAACAAGGCCCACACGACGTTCTGACCCACCAACCTGATTCGAATCCCGGGTTCGCAACCAATCGCAACCACATTTCCTGGAAATCTGTTACGAAACCAGGACTCGGTTCCTTCCCCAGGAATTACTTGCTTTCGCATGCCCCGTTGCGACCCGCTGCAACATAACATCTTCGGCTTGGCATTGCTTTGTATTTTGCGGCATTGCTTGACACTGCGTCGGTTTGCTTGGCATTCGTTCGCGTGGCTTGCCATTCCTCGGTGCGGCGCAACCGAAATTCTTCGCCGTCCCCGACGGCGGCATCTCTTTCCCTCCTCCTGGTCCTCCCTGGGTCCTCCTCCTCCTCCTCCTCCTCTTTCTGCCGTTCCACCACTCGTCCTCCCCAACATCCGCTTCCCTTTCCTCGCTCCCAGAGATTCCCTCCCTCCTAGCAATCGCCCTCCACCCAACGCCTTTCAGGAGCCTCTGGAGGCCTGGGAAGGGCCTCGGACCGCCTTAACTTTGGAAGATTTCCAGGGCCACATTTCCAAAGCCACTACGGATGCAGCGAACGACCAACATAAGCAAAGCCTCAAAGACCAAGGTGCATGGCGCGAAGCGCCAATGCAGTCTTGTACATATATATATATATATGTATATATATATATATGTATAAATATATATATATATATATATATGTATGTATCCCCCCTTGTTGACTGCAGTTTGTTCCACCCGAGTGGCCTCGCGATGCTGAGTCGAAGTCTCGCGAATCCGGTGCCCACGAACACCTGTCACGTCTACCTCCTTCGGTCTTCTCAGAAAACATCGTCCCCCTTGGGAAACGTCCCAATATGCCAAAAAGTAAAGCACCATAGCTCTGGGTCTGTTCGTGTGTTTTTGCAAAGGGCGTTTGTGAATTAAGACGCCCCTTAAGCATCCTTTGAAACATCACAGCATCACAGAACCATCGCGAATAGCTTACATTATGTGTTGTTGCGTGCTCATCGGGTTCCTTCAAGAACCAGACAGGATCTACAGGCACATCTGGTTTCATGTTCGTAGCGATTCTGTCTCAAGGTCTCACACGTCTCCTGGGCTTATCGTCCCCGCACCGTCCCGGTGTCCCCCCTGCTCTCTGGAATCCACAATGGCGGACCTCCGCGCACCGCTTACGTCGCCGGCTGGCAGTCCAGGAGAGCCTGCTGCCGACCTTGATGTGGAGGCCATGAATGCCGATGCCAACTCATTTGGGAAATTGTTGAGGCAGGCTTCCCGCGGCAGCGAGGGCGAGAGGAGGAAGGGCCTGTCGATGGAGTGGCGGGGGCTGTCCTTCTCGGTGGGAGACAAGCAAATCTTGAAGGATGTCACTGGCGTTTTGTTTCCAGGTCTCGGGGGGCCGAGATGGGTACTCATCGGTCGTTGAAAGTAGGTATTTTTGGAGCCCCGCTTCCGTCCTCTTCAGGGGGCGGGCGGACACCCGATCTACTTTCAACGCTATCCTACTTCATGTTTCTACCTACTTCCTCCGACCGATGGATATGGAAACAATGGGCACGAAGTCCAACGGCAGTCGTTCATTCTGGACAGGGTTCGTTGTCGGCGTCGCCGCGGTCGTTGTCCACCTGAGACACAACTTCGCCTGCCCAGCAGCGGCCGCTGTCTCTTTGGGGCAGCACTTGTTGCTGGGCATCGTACCCATGTTTTCACGTACCCTAGTCGGGCGCCCAGAAGGTCGGCTTACAGCCGTGTTGGGGCCCTCGGGCAGTGGGAAGAGCACCTTGCTGAACGTCCTCGCCGGCAGGCAGCGCACGACTGGGCCAACGGGCTCGGCGCCGATGACGGGCGAGGTCTCCGTAGGCGGTACCGCCATCGACGTCGCCGATTTCAAGAGCAGCATCGCTTACGTGATGCAGGACGATCGGTTGTCGAGGGGGGAAAGCACACTGACCATGGCCAAGATGTCGGGGGATCTCGTCGACGCCGATCTTGGTCGTTGGCTGTGCCGGCCGTCGCCGATTCGCGAGGATGACCCACGGATTGACGTTGACCAAGATGGACGGTGACCGCGATCGGCACGACGTTTCCGCGTTCAGTCTTGGTCGTGATCCTATCTTGACCTTGCAGGTTGATGCCCACCGAGACCCCGCGCGAGTGCATCGAGTTCTCCGCCTATGCAGCTGCCTCCGGCCATTCCGCCGCCGTGTCATGGGCCCAGGCGGGCCGGGGGGCATCGGGGAAAGGGCCTTCTGGGGCGTGCAAGGCTCGGGGGAAGGGGGCCATGGCCGCCCAGGGACCTTCACGAGAGTGGGCGGTGCATGCAGGTGGATGCTTCAACAGGGGGTGTGGTCCCTCAGAAGAATACACCGCCCTCCGCCAGGAGGAGGAGGAGGAGGAGGAGGAGGAGGAGGAGGGGGAGGAGGAGGAGGAAGGGGGGGAGGAGGAGGAGGAGGAGGAGGAGGAGGAGGAGGAGGAGGAGGAGGAGGAGGAGGAGGAGGAGGAGAAACCCTACCAGACGGCACCAAGGCATTCTAGCACGCCACTGCCAGACGGCACCAAGGCATTCTCACACGCCAGTGAGGTGCAGGCGCGGCGGCGGATCTGCGTCGCCACGGGACCCCGGAGGAGAGATCGGAGCTGGTGGGCACGATGTTGTCGACCTTAGGCCTAAACAAGTGCGCGGACACCATCGTGGGTTCTGCGCTGTTAAAGGGCATCTCTGGGGGCGAGAGGAAGCGGACGTCGGTGGGCGTCGAGCTAATCACCGACCCAAAAATGTTTTTTCTGGACGAGCCCCTGAGCGGCCTCGACTCCTTCGCCGCGTACACTCTGGTGCAGGCCTTGAAGGATCTGGCGTTGGCGGGGGTGCCCGTGCTATGCACCGTGCATCAGCCTTCTTCTGAGATCTTCGCCATGTTCGACGACGTGATCATCCTTCATGACGGGGAGGTCGTTTACCACGGGCCGGTAGCGGAGTTTGCGCCTCATTTCAGCCGATGGGGAAAGTGCCCCGCGAACTTCAATCCCGCCGACCACGTGATGTTTCTTATCCAGAAGGACCCCGACGAGAATAGCACCAGGTTTCGTTGCGCGGTATCCGACCCCGAACCAAAGCTCTGGGTCGGTGTCGGTTTGGGAGATCGCCGCGACGATCGCGGCGGTCACAGATCGAGGCAAGGTTTTTGTCAAGGAATGGCATGCCCCTTCCCTGCCCCCCCCCGCTCTGCGATGTAGACGTGGCTCATACTGAACCATCTGGCGACAGTGAGCTACCAATGTATGCCCAACATGGGCAGTCATGTTCTTTAGGTTAGGGGGGCCACTATCACGTACCCGTTGGTCGTTGAAAGTAGGAGTTTCTGGATCCCCAGATCCCAATCTACTTCAAAGGCCCTCCTACCTCGAGAGCCGATGTGTGCTTCTGCTGTGTTCTGCGGCTCTCTGGGAGGGCCTGAACCCCATCTGCTTTGCCCGCCTTCTGGCCTCAAGCTTTTACCTACCTTTCAGTCGGGCCTGTCCCTCTACAGAGGGGGAATATTCAAAAATAGTCAAAAAATAGTCTGGGGACCATTTTGGTGGTATTTTGGGGCATCTTTTGAGTATTGTTTGAATATGTTGTATTTCTCGTCCAAAATCCCCCTGTAGGGGGACAGGCCCGACATAAGCCTACCTCTTCCGACCGTCGGGTGGCCAAGGTTGCGCGAGATGAAGGATGCATGGCTCTCCTCGGACTTGCACGGCTCCCTGTGCTCCAGGATCGACGCCCTGCGGTCCGGGGGCTCCACCCCGACCTCGGCACTCCGCGCCGCGGCGCCGCGGGGGCTGCCCCTCTGGAGGCAGCTCGCCGTGCTCACCTCCAGGGAGTTCCGCGGGACGGTGCGCAACAAGGGCATCCTGGGGGCGCGGTTCGGCATGTCAATCTTCCTGGCCTTGCTGTATGCGTGGCTGTTCGCGGGCAGCGCCAGGAACGGCGACGATCCCAACGTCCTCAGCAGCTGCGTGCCGAGCCACTTCTCGCCGCCCGCCTGCGCCAGCGACTTTCAGGCTCACTACGGAACCCTGGTCTCTCTGTCGATCTCGTCCATGATGGGGTCTGCCCAGCCCATCTTGCTCTCCTTCCCGAGCGAGAGGCCTGTGTTCCTCCGGGAGTACGCGTCGCAGCAGTACAGCGTGTTGCCGTATTTTGTCGCGAAGACGCTCGTGGAGATGCCAGTGGTCTTCATTAGCAACTTGATGACTTACTTGTTCTCCTATTGGATCATGGGGCTACAGGGGAATTTCCTCGAGTTGACGGTCATCGGCTGGGCCTTGGGAATCACCTCCTCGTCTTTGGCTCTGGTGATCGGGTGCGGCGTGGCCTCCGGGGAGAAGGCCATCCAGCTTGCGCCACTGGCGCTGATTCCGCAGATGCTCTTCAGCGGCCTCTTCCTGCCGGTATCGAAGATCCCGACCTCCCTCCAGTGGGTCAAGTATTTGTGCCCGTTGAAGTATGCGATCAACTTGGCCACGATGGCGGAGTTCCACTACATCAAGGAAAGCATGGACGATTGCGAGATCCACCACCCGCAGCAGGTCTGCAGAGGCCTTTATCCGGGCAACTACTTGAGACAAGACTTGATTGAGAATCAGGGTGTCCAGTGGTCGGATTGGGTTCTCGACGTGGCCATTCTGACAGGCCTTTTTGTGACCTTCCGCACAATATCGCTGATTCTTTTGTGGCGCAAGGGGAAATATGTCTTCTGACGAGCTCTTGGCCCCTCACAGGGCGCGCGAAGCGTCGGAGCTGTGGCAGAGCTTCCGTTGCCACGCGCGCAGTGCAGTTCGCATGGATCTCCGTACGGACGGAGACATCGCTTGCCGCCGCCTCGGCCGTGCTGGGGCGCACCGCACCTCCTCCTCCTCCTCCTCCTCCTCCTCCTCCTCCTCCTCCTCCTCCTCCTCCTCCTCCTCCTCCTCCTCCTCCTCCTCCTCCTCCTCCTGCCCAACCATCTCCCCCCTCCTGCTGCAAGGGCAGCGGGAGCCGCTCGGCACCACCGCCTCCGCAGGCACGCAGGCACGCAGCCTCGCACGAGCATGCGCCCGCGGCCGCCGCTCTGGCCTGGCGTCGTTGCGTGGAGCAGCCGAGCCGCGCCGCCGAGAGCCCGTCGTCCCCCCCCTGGCTCCCGCGGGAGGTGCCAGTGACACAGCAGAAGGGCAGCCGTCGCAGCGAAAACTGGCATGTTTGGAGTCCTCCTCTCCTCCCCCTCCTCCTCTCCCTCCTCCTCCTCCTCCTCTCCTCCTCCTCCTCCTCCTCCTCCTCCTCCTCCTCCTCCTCCTCCTCCTCCTCCCCTCCTCCTCCTCCTCCTCCTCCTCCTCCTCCTCCTCCTCCTCCTCCTCCTCCTCCTCCTCCTCCTCCTCCTCCTCCTCCACAATTACACAATATGAAAATACTCTCCCACTTCCCCTGATGGCGTCCGGAAGATATTCGGCACCCCCCCGCGTACTGTTTTTTTACACACAGGATTCCCCGGAGTTGGGTTTTCGCTTGTGTTTTTTTCTAAAATGCTGCTCTCGCTGAGGCGCTGGCCTAATTTTCGGGCTCCCGCTCCTTCCGAATCGTGTTCCCGCTGCAGCGCTGGCCTCATTTCCGCGCTCCCGCTCGTTCCGAATCGTGCTCCCGCTGCAGCGCTGGCCCAATTTCTGCGCCTCTCGTTGTTCCAAAACGTGCTCCCGCTGCAGCGCCGACGTTTTCGATCCTTTTTAAGAAGCCCCAAATCTAGAAAATGATCCCCGGCAAAAACATTGGAGGTGATTACACATCCGGTGTCGATTCGTTGATTTTTGGGGCCGCAGAAAGCCCCCCCCCCTTTTGGGCGGCGTCCTTTTCCGCACAGGATTCCCGGGAGTTTGGTTTTCATCTATGTTTTTGAAAATCCGCGCCGTCGTCCTCCTCCTTTCCCTCTTAGGTAACAGGGTCAGATGCGAAGCCCGATTCGGTGAGAGGACAATGAAGTAGCTCAATGGGAAGGGATGGGAGGGAGGGGTAGGATGTCAGATGTTGACGCGAGCGCACCTAGCTTGTCCTCCCCCTCTCCTCTTCCTCCTCCTCCTCCTCCTCCTCCTCCTCCTCCTCCTCCTCCTCCTCCTCCTCCTCATCCTCCTCCTCCTCCTCCTCCTCCTCCTCCTGCGGCCCCGTGTCCGGCCAGCGGGGCGCTCCGCGCACAGGGGTTGCTAAAGGAGCCCCTGGCCCGAGGTGCCCCCAGCTTTTCGCCCCACTTTGGAGCCCCTGGGCCCCCTGGGCCTCGTGAGGGGTGCTCTGGAGGCCGTGGAGGCCTCCCTGGAAATTCTGGGGGCACCTTGGGCCAGGGGGCACTTCTAGCAGCGCCCGACGCCGCTCTGTCGCACGGGGCGCGCCCTTGGGGCAGCGCCAGATGCGCGGCCGGGGCCGCCCGAGGGTGCGGGGAGTCAGACCCCCGACGTCGTGATTTTTTACATAGCATCGGCCCCAAAGGCATCGACCCCCCACACCTGACCCGCATGGCGCTCGAAGGGGCACCTCTAGCAACACCCGAAAAGGAGAGAGGAAGCTTCCAGAGCGCACTCCCTGGGAGTCCCCAGCAAAACGGCCGGGTGGCCACCTGCGTGCGCCGAGGGACTTCGTCTCTCCAAGTGGCCCCAGGTCAAGCAGTGGCGAGGCGTCCTGGCTTGCCCCTGGGCCCGCCAAGGAATGTTCTGAGAACCTTTTCTGGTTTGCACGAAACGTTTTGCGAAAACATTTCTGCCCGAGACCCTTGGTTTTGATACGTCGGTTCTACGTTTTAACAACATGGCTTGCGCTGCTAGGAAAAAATAAGAACCTGTCATGGCAGGCCTGCAGGAGCGCCGGGATCCTGAGGCCCTCTCGTGCCCGAAGAAGGCACGCGGGGAGACGCGAGGAGCACCCGGCCAGACGCGAGCAGCCCCAGGAGATCTCGCATGCTCCAGGGTTGCCCAGAAGACCTCCTCAGGAGCGAGGGCTGAGTCTCAGGGGATCGGGCAGAGGACCTGGGGACACGCCCACTCCGTGTCCAGTGGCACGGCGGCGGATATTTCGAGGATTTCAAAACATGGCTAGCCAACAATTGTGTATATACATATATACATATATACATACATATATATATATATATATATATATGCATATATATATATATATATATATATATACATATGTATATATGTATATGTATATGTGTTCCTCTTCCTATATTTTTGTAAGCCCAGACGGGGGGAAAAACCCCCACCCCTCACCCCCCCAAAACCGGACTCCAGGGATCTGGGGCTTTGGGACCCTCCGGACGGGCCTCGAAGCGGCCCCCCGGGCCTCGCAGGGCGTTTTGCCAAGCCTTCCCAGCACACCTAGGGCGATCAGGGGGGTCATCGGAGACGTCTCAGAGAACCCCAAGACAGCACAAGAGCGCTCCAAGAGTGACCGACGTGACCTCAAGATGGCCCAAGAGGCCTCCAGGAAGGCCCCAAAGAGGCCTCCAAGAGCACTCCCAAGAAGGCCCCAAGAGGCAAAAATCATGGATGTTCTTGCGGTTTTTGGTGAATTTTGGGGTTCTCCTCTTTTCGGCTTCCCGACGCTCCAAGACGGCGGTTTTCTGGGCGTCCGAGGCCGCCTGGGAGGCTCCCAAATCGCCCCAAAACCATCCGAAAGGGTTTCCAGGCAGTCCAAGAGAGCCCCAAAACGGCACAACACTGGTCCAAGATGGTCCTCAGAGAGCCCCATGGCGGCCCAAGATGGCCCCAAGACACCCTCCGAAGCATTCCAAATCGTGACCCGGTCGTTCAGGGAGACCGCGGTTGGAGGCAGGATGGCCCGAGGAAGCCCCTAGAGGCCCCCTGAATGCGCCCAGGAGGCCTCCAGAAGGCTTTAAGAAAGCCTGAAAGAACTATTGTGAGGCCCCCAGAAGCTCTCCCAGGAGGAGCCTTCGCAAAAAAGAGCTGAGGAGGATGGGGAGAATGCGCAGGGTATGGCGAAAATGACGAAAAATAATCATGGAGGAAGGATAACGAATATCATTATCATAGCGGCGACGCCGGAAAAGGCAACAAGGAGTTATCGCTAAATTGTCGGCTTGACCTTCTTGCTACCCCGCCTGCATACCAAACTTCAAGGACCAAGGTGCATGGCGCGAAACGCCACTGCAGTCTTGTGTATATATACACACATGTATAAGTATACAAGACTGCATGGGCGCTTCGCGCCATGCGCCTTGTTCCGGACGCTTCCCTGGCAGAGCAGTAAACGTCGCTTGCTTCAGCAGAGGGGGACCTCGAGGCCTGGACGGGCGATCGGCTCATTTTTCTGATATTCCTGGTGTTTGCTGACACCGCGCTCGCCCGATGCGTTTGCACGCATGTGCGCAGGAGTGGGGAAGGAATATGTTTATATCATCATATTATATATATATACACACATACATTCATGCATACATACATACACACCGATTGTTATATTTCTGTTACCCGCAAACCTCCCCACCCCACCCCCACCCCCACCCACCCACCCCTAAACTGGACCCCCTCCCCCGCCCGTGACGCCTTTTCGGACGTCTCGGTGGCCCCTTTGGACGCCCTGGGCAAAGGTCCGCTGGCCCTTCTGGGCCTCCCAGGGCGCCTTGCTGGGCCTTGCGAGCAGACTCAAGGCGATCAGAGGGTTCATCGGAGAGGCGCAAGAGAGACCCAAGACAGCACAAGAGCGCTCCAGGAGGAACCTCGATGGTCTGACGACGGCCTAAGAGGCCCCCAAGACACCCCAAAAGGCTGTTAAGAAAGCCCCGAAGAAGCAACATCCGTCCCATTCTTTTTGCGAATCTGTATAGTTTTAGCATATCCGCTTCTTGGGCCTTCGCAGCGTCCAAGACGGCCCGATGGGCCCCCGATATCGCCCCAAGACGGCCCAACGGGCCCCCCTGAAGGTTTGAAGACGGCCCAAAAGGGCCCCAAGACTGCCCCAGAGAGCCCCGAGACTGCTCACAAGAAGCCCAAGATGCCCCCAGAAGGCCCCCAAGAGAGACCCACGAAAGCCATGGGAGACCCCCAAGAAGGCCACTGAAGGCTCCCAAGAGGGCCCTAGCTGGCCTCAGAAAACTTCTGGAGGGCCCCAGCTCCTCAAGACGGCCCAAGAAAGCCCCAGAACGGCCCAAAAGAGCCCCAAAAACGCCCAGACGACGTTTTCCTACGAGGCTCGAGGTCGAAATTCCTCGATCGAGAAAGCCAGGCAATTAATCTAGATGCGAAGTTCGACGATCGAACATGTCCTGAGTGCCTGGAGCACCCCAGGCATTCAGGAAGCCACCAAAAGTCGATTTGCTCGGAGCTACTGCGACTTCTTCGGCGTGTCATGGGAACGCTCCTTACTTCCCCCAAGGACCTTCGCACGTGAAAAATCATCATTCCGTCACCGCTCTTGCGCACAAGCGTTTAAGCGCATTGGGCGAACGCGGTGTCAGCAGGCACCAGGAATATCAGAAAAATGAGCCGGTCGCCCGTCCAGGCCTCGAGGTCCCCCCTGCTGGGGCAAACGATGATTTACTGCTCTGCCCGGGAAGCGGCCGAAACAAAGCGCATGGCGCGAAGCGCCAAGGCAGTCTATCATGCACTTATGTGTATATGGATGTATAGATATGTGTATATATGTATATATATATATATATACATATATAAGTGTGTATGTATATATATATGTGTATATATATACACATATATATATACACATA